TTAAACTTAAAATGAGTTCCTTGAGAGCATGGACTTCTGGCTTCCACATGTCATTATAACCTGTATACTTATCATAGTGACTGGCACAAGCCAGCTTTTATCAGCTGTTTGTGAACAAAAATAAGGGAGAAAAGGAGAAATCAAAAATACGGGAAAGTGCCCTGGCCAGTTTTGCTCAGTGGTTAGAGTCAGCCCTTAGACCAAAGAGTCATGAGTTCAGTTGCTGATCAGTCCCCGGTCCTGGTTGGTGTCATGCAGGAGGCAGCCAGTCAATGTGTCTCTCTCTCTCTTTCTCGCCCCGCCCTTCCCCACTCTATCTGAAAATGAAGGAAAAAATATCCTCTGGTGAGGATCAAAAAAAAAAGGAGGGGGAGTATGCCACTAGATAATGGCTGGGACCTCTCCCTTAATATACTGTCTTCAAATTCTTACATAATCTTAAGCAGAAATCTAATACACAAAACAGACAAAAACAGAGTTACTAATTATTCTACTAAAGAATAACCAGGCTGCCCTGGCCGGTTTGGCTCAGCGGTTAGAGCGTCGGCCTGCGGTCCTGAGAGACCCGGGTTCGGTTCCCGCTAAGGGCGCGTACCTCGGTTGCAGTTTGTTCCCGGCCCTGGTTGGTCGTGCGGGTGGCAGCCACTCGATGTGTTCCTTTCACATCGATGTTTCTCTCTCTCTGTTCCTCTCTCTCCTCCCACTCTACCTGAACAAAAAATGGAAAAAAATGTCCTCCGGTGAGGATTAAAAAAAAAAAAGAATAACCAGGCTGGGTGAAAAAGCTGAGAAAGGATTAAGCAAAAGAGAAAAATAAATAAAACTTCAGACACAGATAACAAGTATTGTGATTATCAGAAGAGAAGAGGGGCAGGGGGAGGTAGAAGAGAATATAGGTATATAGGGGGAATAAAATGGTGATGGAAGACGACTTGGAGTGGTGAACACATAATACCATATAGAGATGATATATAACTTTATTAACCAATGTCACCCCAATAAATTCAATTAAAAAATAAAAATGATTAAATGATTTAAAATGTATTTAAAAAAAAAAAAAGAAAAGAAAAGAAAAACCAGAGACAATATAATATTTGTCAGTAAGAAATTAAGGTGTTAGAAAAACAAACATTTACATGGACTCACGGGGAGAGGGGATAGATGCTCAGATATGCTGATGAGTGAAAAACTGCAGAATATTATGCAGAGGATTCCATTCTGTAAAAATCCACAAACTCATCTTTGTATGTATACAGAAAACACATCAAACTATTTTTTTTTTTTTAAATCCTCACCCGAGGACATTTTTTCAGGTAGAGTGGGAGGGAGAGAGAGGAACACAGAGAGAGAGAGAAACATCGATGTGAAAGGAACACATCGAGTGGCTGCCACCCGCACAACCGACCAGGGCCGGGGACAAACTGCAACCGAGGTACGCGCCCTTAGCGGGAACCGAACCCTGGTCTCTCAGGACCGCAGGCCGACGCTCTAACCACTGAACCAAACCGGCCAGGGCCACATCAAACTATTAAAGAGTAATATTCTTGGAGAGTGAAATTAGGATGAGAGTTGTTTCATATTTTACCTACCTCTCACTTTTTTTTTATCCTCAACCAAGGACACTTTTTCCATTTTTTGTTCAGATAGAGTGGGAGGGGGAGAGAGGAAGAGAGAGAGGGGAACATCAACGTGAAAGGGATCCAATCAGGGCCAGGGACAAACTGCACCTGAGGTACATGCCTTTAGCGTGAACCAAACCTGGGTCTCTCTGGACCGCAGGCCGACGCTCTAACTGCTGAGCAAAACCGGCCAGGGCATTACCTCACTTTTGATTTACTTATAACGATCATGCTACTTTTAAAATTAAAAAACGTGAACTGGATATATACAAGCAAAAACATTAAGTTGGCTTTTTACCTTTTACTGTCCACAAAAATTAACTCAAAATGGATCAAAGATCAACCTACGCACCATGAGGTCGATGTTCTCATCAATGTTTCTATCTCTCTCTCCCTCTCCCTCCTTCTCTCTCCCTCAAATCAATAAAGTAAAAAAAAAATTTTTTTGTTTAATTTTTTTTTAACTTTTGTGCACGGCCCAGCCAATATGGCTCAGTGGGTTGAGTGTTTGAGAGACATGTCATGAACTGAGAGGTCCCCGTTTGACTGCCAGTCAGCGTACATGCCTGAGTTGCAGGCTTGATCCCCAGTAGGGAGCATGCAGGAGGCAGTCCATTGATGATTCTATCGATGTTTCTCTCTCTCTCTCCTTCTAAAACAAAAACAAAAAAAATCAATAAAACTTATTTAAAACTTTTGTACATCAGAAGATACTATCAGTAGAAAGAAAAGGCAGATCATGGAATGGGAGAATACATTTGCAAGTCACATAGCTGATAAAGAATATCCAGAACATAAAAAGAACTCATACTACTGGACAACAAAAACCCACACAACCCAACTGAAAAAGGGCCAAAGGGCCAGCTGGTGTGGCTCAGTGATTGAGTGTTGACCCCTGTACCAGGAGGTCACCAGTTCGATTCCCAGTCAGGGCACATGCCCAGTTGTGGGCCAAATCCCCATAGGGGGCATGTAGGAGGTGGCCAATGTTCTCTCTCATCAATTTCTCTCCCTCTCTCAAATCAATAAAGAAAAAAGAAAAAAAAAAAGCCAAAGAACTCGCCCTGGCCGGTGGTGCTCAATGGGTAGAGCAACAGAGCCCATGCATGGAAGGGTCACAGGTTCTATTCCCCGGTCAAGGGCATGCACCTGAGTTGCAGGTTCAATTCCCCAGCCCCACTGGGGCTCATATAGGAGGCAACCCAACTGATGTGTGTCTCTCTCTCTCCCTCCCACTCTGTCTGAAAATCAACGGAAAAATATCCTTGGCTAAGGATTAAAAAAAAAGTAGCCAAAAGACTAGATAGACATTTGTCCAAAGAAGATAAGACAAAGGCCAATAAGCACATGAAAAGATGTTCAGCATCACTAATCGTTAGGGAAATACAAATAAAATCCATAAGATGCCACTTCACACCCTAGTCTACTATCAAAGAAACAGAACATAACAAATGTTGGCAAAGATGTGGGAAATTGGAACACTCATGGCATTACTGGTAGAAGTGTGAAATGGTGCAACCATGACAGAAGACATTATGGCAGTTCCTCAAGAAATTAAATAAGAGTTCCTATATGATCCAACAATTCTACTTCTGGGTCTATACCCAAAAAAACTGAAAGTAGGGACTGTACACCTTGGCTGGTTTTGCTCAGTGGTTAGGTGTTGGCCTGGGAACCGAAGAGTCTTGGGTTCAGTTCCCGGTCAAGGGCACATGCCTGGGTTGCAGGTTTGATCCCCAGCTATGGCTGGGGTCATTCAGGAGGCAACCAATCAAAGTGTCTTTCTCATATTGATGCCTCTCTCTGTCTCTCCCAACCCCACTCTATCTAAAAATCAATAGAAAAATATCTTCAAGTGAGAATTAAAAAAAATAAATTTTAAAAAAAGAATGTGAACAGATATTTGTACACCCGTGTTCATAGCAGCAGTATTCACAATAGCAAAAAGTTAGAAGTGACCCAAGTGTTCATCCACCTATAAATAAACAAAATGTGGTATTATGTACGTACAATAGAAAATTACCCAGTCTTAAAAAGGAAGAAAATTCTAGCACATGTTACAACATGGATAAACTTTGAAGACATTCTGCTAAGTTAAATAAGCCAGTCACAAAAGGACAAATAATTCTTTTTTTAATCCTCACCCAAGAATATTTTTCTATTTATCTTCAGATAGAATGAGAGGAAGGAAGGGAGAGAGAAACATTGATGTGAGAGGGTCACATCGACTGGTCACCTCCCACATGACCCCGACCAGGGCCGGGGACAAACCACAACCGAGGTACATGCCCTTGACTGAAATCAAACCTGCGACTCTTCGGTCCACGAGCCAACGCTCCAACCTTTAAGCCAAACTGGCCAGGGCAAAAGGACAAATGTTCTGTGATTCCACTTACATGAGGTACCAACAGTAGTCAAATACAGACAGAAAGAAGACGATGGTTGCCAGGGGTGGGGGTAGAGTGCAAAATGGGTAGTTTAGTGTTTGTAATAAACATAGATTCAGTTTGAGAAGATGAAAAATCCTGGAGATGGATGATAGTAACAGTTGGAGAACAATGAGAATATACTTAATGGCAGAACTGTACATGTAAAAAATAGTTAAAATGTTAAATTACCTTGTTATGTATATTTTACCACAATTTTTTTCATTTTTACTTTTTTAATTTATTGGGGCAACACTGGTTAAAATTACACAGGTGTACAATTTTACACCACATCATCTGTACACTGTATTGTGTGTTAATCACTCCAATTCTATTTTACCACAATTTTTAAAAATTTAAAAACCATTACCACCTTTTTAAAAAAAGAAATCAATCCTGGCCAGTCTGGCACAATGCTTAGAGTGTCAGCCCACGGACCAAAGAGTGGCAAGTTCGATTCTGGTCAAGGGCACATACCTCGGTTACAATTTGGTCCCAACCCTGGTCAGGGTCGTGAGGGAGGCAACTAATCAATATGTATCTCATATCGATGTTTCTGTTTCTCTCTCTCTCTCTCTCTCTCTCTCTCTCTCTCTCTCTCTCTCTCTCTCTCCCCCCCACCCTTCCTCCCTCCCTCCCACTCCTATCTGAAGATAAATGGAAAAGTATCCTCAGGTGAGGATTTTAGGGGAAAAAAAAAGGAATCAGCTCTGGGAAAGGGGACAGGGATGGGGGAGGGGGGTGCATTTTGACCCATTACCCAGCACTAGAGGCCAGGGCTGTGCTCCACAGACAGTCTGAAAACCACAAACTTCAGTGAAAGTAACAAAAATAGAACATGGGCTCAGGGAACAGTGCTTACAGCAGCTAAAATGCATAGATAGGGTAAGACTATTTAAAACCAAACCACACTCTTCTATACAGTCATAAATCTACATCTTCATTAACTAGATACCTTTGCTTCCTCTGCCATTTTTTTCTCTTCATCTACCTCTTCAGTCTTTGTTGAATCTTCACTTTGGAGTTTTCTTCTTTTTTGCTTGGGAGCCATGAAGCCTTGGAGAAACTTCTTTATGACACTGGCTTGAAGGGCAATCACACACTCACCAAAATCCTTAAGTTTCTCTAAAGAGATCACCTACAGGAATTGATTTAAAAACCAGATTGAGAGAAAGGCCAAGAGAAAAATGAAAGGAGACTATCCTTGACTAAATTCAAATCAATCTAGACACCAATGGGTCACATAACATTAATTTAACTGGGATTCTCAGTTCAATGGATGGCTTATTAAGCATTTAAAAGTAGCTGACGCCCAGCTGGTGTGGCTTAGTGGTTGAGCATCAACCCATGCACCAAGAGGTCGCGAATTTGATTCCTGGTCAGGGCACATGCCCAGGTTCTGGGCCCGATCCCCAGTGGGGAGCATGCAGGAGGTGGCCAATCGATGTTCTCTCTCATCGATGTTTCTCCCTCTCCCTTCCTCTCTCCTCTCTAAAATCAATAAAGAAAAAAAAAAAAAGTAGCTGACCACTTCCATTTCCTCAGTGAAGGGATCCACAAAATGCTGAAACTTACTCTACTTAAGGAAGTTATGCAACTCACTCTTTCGCTCAGTAAACTGAGTGCCTATTACGTGCAAACTACAGTCTCAAGGCAAAGAAAAACTGAGAAGAAAAATAAAAATTTTCTGACCGACTGGCTTAAAAACTATAAACGAAGTAATATATTTTACATACCTGACCTCATCTAAGCCTCATATTTATTTTGTGAATGAGGAAACATAAGCTAAATCACCAAATCATGCTCTTAAATACCAAACACTACTTTCTCAGTCACACAAGACATGACAATTAAGATACCATTTTATAACCACAAAGAGAAACAAAGAAGAATGATGATAACCCAATGTTAGTAAGGTATGGATTAGCACAAAGTAGGCACCTGACAAATATGTGCTAAATCAATAAAAGAGTAAATGTAATATTTGAAAATGGCAAAATCATTTTGGGTTGAATAATTCTTCAAAAATATAATTAAATCCTGGCTGGTTTGGCTCAGCAGTTAGAGCAATGGCCCTCGGACTAAGGGGTCTTGGGTCTGATTTCCGATCAAGGGCATATAGCTGGGTTACAGGTTCCATCCCCAGATCCAGGGTCATGTGAGAGGCAACCAATCAATGTGTCTCTCTCACATCTATGGTTCTCCCCCACCCCACTACTCTATCTAAAAAAAAAAGAAAAAGTCAATGGAAAAATATCCTTGGGTGAAGATTAACCAAAAAATAATTAGTTTAAAAAAACATTAAAAAATGTTTAAATTCTTTTCCCTAGGAAATATACCAAGAATTCATAACCAGGCTAATTAAAAAGAAAAAAGTAACATATATAAAATACATATATAATTTGCTAATTCTAATAGCAAAGAAAATGAAATACAAATTCTGACAGTAGAAAATTTAAAATAGTATCAACTCCATGGGTTATTATGTATCTTGACATGATATACAAATTAAAAGAAATAGAAAGTGGCCCCTGGTATGGCTCAGTGGTTGAGCATTGACCCATGCACCAAAAGGTCACCAGTTCAATTCGCAGTCAGGGCACATGCCCAGGGTTGTGGGCCCAATCCCCAGTGGGGGGCATGCAGGAGGTGGCCAACTGATGATCTCTCTCATCGATGTTTCTATCCCACTCCCTCTCCCTTCCTCTTTCTCTAAAATCAATAAAGAAAAAAATTTTTAAGAAATAGAAAATGTCCATAAATTAGGAAAAAGGAGAGAAAAGATGTAACTGCTCATGAAAATCACACAATTACACCTGAAACTAATATAATATTGTGGTCAACTGTAATTGAAAAATAAAATTTAAAAATGATACAGCAATACACATGCTATAATACATATAAATAATTTGAAAAGACCCACAAATATTGTTTGGAGTTAATATGGACTTTATTGTTTAAAAACAGTAAAAATCATTTTACAATAATAATTGTTGGGTAGTATTTTCCAATCTAACAACGTGAGTGTTGCCCAATATAAGCATAACTCTCCTCAGCTAGCTTGGTATAAAAATGGATAAAAGCAGAATACAACAAATATATTTCAGACCTTATAGCACAAGTATCACATGGGAATAAACATGTTAAATAATGTTATAGAACTATGGCTCCAGAACCAGTTTTCATTTAACTTAACAGAAAACCTCTTTTTGAACAAAGGCTCTGAGTCAACTACTAGATTTTTTGGAATACCACAAAAGGTGACAAAGGAAAAATATCACATAGAGAGAGAGAATTTTCAGTTATACACGTCTTTCAAGATAAACCCAAACATATGATTTCCAGGATCACCAGGGGAAATCAAGAACAACGTGAGGGAATAATTCCAAATTGGGTTTTCATGAGTAACAGATTTCTAAGGGTATTTTTATATGTTCTTACCCGAGCTTCAAATTCCGATGTTTCTTCCACATAACCAAGACCCCCCTTTTGTAACCTTGTTGCAACTTCAATGAGATCACTACGAAGAAAGTTTAAGAGCTCCTGGTTGCCATCACAAGATTTTAGACCCAAATTTGGCTTCCGGGCCAGATGAATAGAATGAATAATGTCCTGGTACCTAGAAAAGTAAGGGCAAGCAGGAGGGGAAATAAAGAAACTTCTGAAGATGAGCCATAAATTTCAATTACTTGAATAACATGTGTTAATTCTATAAGACATATTTAGATTTTTTTCATCTCTCCTTGGTAATTATTAATAGTCTCACATTTCTTGCACTAATTTTCAAATTTCTCTTATTCTTGATTCATTTCAAAAATAAACTTTATTTTATTCTGTATTTGATAAATTCTAATATCTGAAGTGGGTTGCTTTTCCTAGCTCTCATTCATGGTACCTAATCTGTATATATTTTAACTTTTTAAACATGAGTTTCTTGGAATTTTATCTGTGGGAATTCTTTGAGGTCTGGTTTGAAGCTGTGCTCCTCCAGAGAGAATGTGCATTTGCTTATGTCAGTTGCCAGGAATTGCTACCAACCCATGACAACTTTAAATCATGTGCCTTAAATTCTTCACAACACAGAAGAAAAATGATGTCAAGTGAAAACCTATATAAGGAACTTCACATTCACTCTTACACTAATGCTTAACCATTGAGGTCCCAGCAAAAACGACTCCAATAAGACTCAATATCTGGATGGAGTCATAAGCTTCACTGTTGGTTTCCTATACCAAAACGAAAACCAAAGCTCAAGGTCATCTAAGTTGAGTACTAAATTCCATATTCTTTCTTAATAAGGGTTTTTAATAGTATACACCTCTGAATACTACTTCATTGTTTCCCAATGGTTTTCTTATAGAGAATTCTTGCCCTGGCCAGTTTGGCTCAGCAGTTAGAGTATCAGCCTGCAGTCCAGAGAGACCCGGGTTCGGTTTCCGCTGAGGGCGTGTATCTCGGTTGTGGTTTGTCCCTGGCCCTGGTTGAGTTGTGTGGGTGGCAGCCCCCCGATGTGTCCCTTTCACAGTGATGTTTCTCTCTCTCTCTCTTCCTCTCTCTCCCTTCTACGCTATCTGAACAAAAAATGGGTCCTCGGGTAAGGATAAAAAAAAAAATTCTTTCATTGCTTTCTACATACAATACCATTTCCCTTTTATTTTCTTCTTTGATCTAAGTGTTATCTAGATCATGTATCCTGAAGCTTTCTACTTTTTAAATTTGTTGACGTTGTTTCTGTGGCTAAGTATATGATCAACTTTTATAAATGTTCAATGGATATAATGAAAAAATTTACTTATGTTTCCAAATGGCCTAGTATCCTTTGTTACACACACACACACACACACATCATTTTGCCCTGGCCAGTGTGACTCAGTGGTTAAAGCGTTGGCCTGTGCACCAAGGAGTGGCGGGTTCGATTCACAATCAAGGGCACATACCTAGGTTGCAGATTCAATCCCTGACCCTGGTCAGAGCATGTGCAGGAGGCAACCAATCAATGTGTCTCTCTCCATCTCTCCCTCCTTTCCACTCTCTCTCTAGAAATCAATGGAAAAAATATCCTCAGGTAAAGATTAAAAACAACAAAAAATATTTTTAACTGAGCTATAATTGACTGCATACCCTTTTATTTATATCTTTCACCATTTTACATATTCCTATAAAGAGTATATATATTTTTAAACCTCAAACAGCTTGCAATATATCACCTCATCCCCTTGGCCACCCCGAGGGGAAGCAACTCAAATAACTACCACCAAGAGAACAAATAAATAAATTGGGGCAAATTCACAAATTACAGTCATGGAATAATATATAGAAATACAAAGAGTTCAGTGACCAAAAAAAAGGATGGCTCTTCAGTGCCAAGTAAAGATTAGTAAGCCCCAAAGACTATATATATTGCTTGACAGCTTTTAAAAAAGTTCAAAACCAAGCAAAATAAAACAAGATAAATATTTTTCTAATGTTCAACAAAACCAAAAAAAGTATAAGTTTTGTTTTTAATCCTGACAATCTCTTAACCTTTTAATATGGAAGAATTGATCTGTTCATATTTAGTGAATGGAACAAGTCATTTCAATCTATGCCATGTGCCTAACAAATATTTTAAACAGAAAGCATATCACAGAACTGCACTGTGGTTCTGTGTACTGACATTTTCCCTTATCTTTCTTAATTTTCCTAATCACATCTGTATTAATACAGCATAATTCTGAATATAATTTTAATTAACTTTTCAAATTAAGCAGTGGGCTAAAACCAATATGATGTACCCATTATCACTCACAATAGTCTGGCAAAACTGCAAAGCATGTACTAAAAGGCATTTTCCTTCTCTCTTCAATCAAACCTAAATTCAGCCATGAAAGCATACAGTCAAAAATTAAAGTGGCCTCAATAGCCAACATCTTGTCCTGGCTTTGATAGAAACGATGGCTAGAACAGGAAGGAAACTAACAAATTTAGATGAAATTGAAGCTAATTTTGTAGACAGTAAGCACACTTTTTGTTTGGGATTTTTGGGTGCTTTGGGTTTTTTTCTGTTTTTCTTGGTTTTTTGAGATGTAATTCACGTAACATTAAACTCGCCATTTTAAAAGTATATATTTTTAGTGGTTTTTATGTTATAGAACCATCAAAACTACCTAATTCCAACACATTTTCATCACCCCATAAAGAAATCCCATACCTGTTAGAAATCAATCCCAATTCTCCCTGTCTCCCATTCCTTGGCAACAACTAACCTGCTTTCTATCTACGGACTTGCCTATTCTAGATGTCTCATATAAATGGAATCATACAATATGCAGTCTTTTTTTTTAATCCTCACCCGAGGACATTTTTCCTTTTTTGTTGTTGTTGTTCAGATAGAGCGGGAGGGAGAGAGAGGAAGAGAGAGAGAGAGAAACATCGATGTGAAGGGACACATCGAGTGGCTGCCACCCGCACGACCAACCAGGGCCGGGGACAAACTGCAACAGACGTACGTGCCCTTAGCAGGAACCAAACCCGGGTCTCTCTGTACCGCAGGCCGACGCTCCAACCGCTGCGCCAAACCGGCCAGGGCTATGCAGTCTTTAATATGTCTTCTTTGACTCGGCGTGTTTTCTAGGTTCATCCAAGTTGTTGCATACATCAATATTTCATTCCTTTTTATGGCTGAATTTATGGATATATGAACATCTATCCATCAGTTGATGGACATTTAAGGTGTTTTCATTTTGGCTATTTGAATACTGACAGAATACTTTTGATCACTAACTGACGTGGAACTTCATGTGCAAGGCTGCCTAACTACAAAGAGGCTCAGTTGTGGTACTGCATGGCATGCATTATTCTATGACTAATCCTGCTATCTTGAATACACATGGTTTAAAAGCATTATTTTTCCTAGTAAGTATGATGTGACAAGAAAATACCAAACAAAAGGAATATGAAAGCTAGAGGTTTCTAAAAAATTAATAGTTTTTATGATAAATTAAAAAAAAAAAAACACCCTAAGACGTGTACAATATATAATGCTAAAGAGAAATAAGATGTGAAAGCAAGATGAAAATTCTTACCTCTTCTCTAGTCTTTCTTTAAGCTGACTTTCTCTTATTCCCTGAGCGTGAAGGCAATTTAGCAACTCATCCAGTTCTCTCTGGCTATCACATAAAAACCTGTAGGGGCAAAATAGACCTGAATAATTCGAGGGGGGGGAGAGGGGAGTCAAAGTCAAATACTAAGAAGGGGATCTAGGGTTGATGGTGGGAGAGCAGAATTCCAAAGAAACAATTTACTATTTCCATTCCTGATGTTAACTTTATCCATGGACATTGTTGGAGCCAATGCTTCCTACTACTAAAATACAATGAGACAAATTTTATCAAGTTAATAGGCATATTTGTCCATACACCTTCAAAAGGTGATCATAGCTAAAGCAGTTAATATAATCACAAAGTAAGAGCCCTTTCAAACCTTAGCTCTTTGCCTAAAAGCAGAATCAACACAAAGGAAAATTAATGGCTGTGTATACAATTGTTTATTTTGTAATTAATGAAGATAAAAGTCCTAAATAATTCTATTTGCAAATGGACTGAAAAGCATTTTCAATGCTAAGATCTATCATGTACAAGGTTACATTACAAGGGGGAAAATATAATTCTAAACCTAGAACAAACAAATATTTCTTATAAAAAAATCAAGTCTGCCCTGGCCAGTTTGGCTCAGCAGTACAGTGTTGGCCCGTAGACCAATGAGTCGCGGGTTCGATTCCAGCCAGGTTCGTCCCTGGTCCTGGTCGAGGTTGTGTGGGAGGCAACCAGTCGATGTGTATCTCTCACGTTGATGTTTCTCTCTCTCTTCCTTTCTCTCCCTCCCATTCTGTCTGAACGTAATTAGAAAAATATTATCGGATGAGAATTAAAAAAAAAAAATCAAGTCTGCTTTGTACAGCCAAGTAGCTTGGTTGGTTGGAGCATCGTCCCATACACCAAAAGGTTATGGGTTCAATTCGTGGTCAGGGCATATACCTAGGTCTCCACGGTAGGGGCACATACGAGAGGCAACCAATCAATGTGTCTTTCTCACATCTATGTCTCTTGTTCTCTCTCTCCTTCCCTCATTTCTCTCTAACACCAATTAAAAAACCTATCCTCGCCCTGGCCAGTTTTGCTCAGTGGTTAGAGCATCGGCCCAGGGACCAAAGAGTCTCAGGTTCGATTCCAGTTAAGGCTATGTACCTCAGTTGCAATTCAATCCCTGGCCCTGGTTGGTGTCATGCTGGAGGCAACCAATCAATGTGTCTCTCTCACATCAATGTTTCCCTCTCTCTCTCTCTCTCTCTCTCTCTCTGAGTCCCTCCCTCCCACTCTGCCTGAAAATCAGTAGAAAAATATCCTCGGGTGAGGATTAAAAAATAAAAAAATATCATATCCTCGGGTAAGGATTTATAAAATAAAAATAAAAAGATCACCCTGGCTGGCGTGGTTCATGGATTCAACGTCGTCCCATGGTATGTAGGCTTGACCCCCCAGTAGGGGGCATGCAGGAGGCGGTCAATCAATGTCTGTCTCTCACATTGATGTTTCTCTCTCTCTCCCTTCCTCTCTTTCTCTCTAAAACATCAATAAAAACCCATTTAAAAAATCAAGTCTGCTTTTTAAAGCAATAAGTTTACATATCCAAGAAATCAAAGTCACACAAAATGATCTGAATAGATAATCACTAACTCACTGATGTCGATATATTAAATACTTTCTTAACATTGAAAGAAGAGCAACCAGATGAATGCTCACATTACCATAGATTCTGTCCTTGTTTGGGTATGGTGGTCTCTACAGCAATGTCTGTAGCTGGTCCATGTTGTATGTTCACGCTTATATTTTTGCCTAGGTTTGCTTTCTTACCTAAGAAAAATTATACATTAGGTTGACTATAGTAATTAAATATCCACTTCCTAGTTTCAAAACTAAGCAATCACAGCACCAAATCTAACAACTAAAAACACAGATGCTGCCTATTAAATATATTTATATTTAATAATATATATAACATGCACAATAGATGCTAACTTCTCTTAAATATCTTACATATAGCACATTATTGGGAATATTTACTCTCTATACAGTTGAATAACTGTACAGCTCAAAGTTTGAGAATGAAGAGGGATAACTAAACAACTCTTTAATCAAAGCAAATAATTTACTTCATTGTTAACACAGACATCTGTGGTGAAGGAGAGTCATCTGAAATATATAAACTACTAAATACCCCTGGAAGCTTTCAAATGTCAGATATGATTAACTTTCTTTGTAAACCAACTCTTATATATCAATATATGCCATTAATATAGATAGATCTTAAGCCAGTATTTGAAACCTTACCTCATACTAAAACTGGTTTGTTCGCCTGCTCCCATGCTCTCCCCTACAATACTAACAATCTCTTTTTTTGTCTTTTCAGTCAGGTAATTTTGAAGAGACCCTGCCAGGTTGGAACTAGAACTCATGAAGCAACAACATCCAGGCTCTAGAAGTGAAGGGATCTGGATGTCAACCTTCTCTCAGGGAGCTCTAACTGTATAGGCCCAACTTCTAAGGACAGCCACAAAGCTTTTAAAACACATTCAGTCTCTCAGCCCACTAGTATCTCTCCTATGTCTGAAGATCCTGGCTTCATAAATATAACTGCCCTCACCTGCGTATTCACAGTCTACCAGAACTAAACTTTTCCACTAAGTGTTACAATCTAACACTTAATATAATTTAATAGGAAAACACCTTAAATTTCAAGTTTGGAGCTATCTATTAATTTCCTTATTTATCAATTTTCTAAGTTTAAAGTTTAGATTACAACTTTATTAAAATAAAGAAAAGCTACTTTTTAAAAAAATTAAACATTTCTCACCCTGGCTAGTTTTGCTCAGTGGTTAGAGCATTGGCCTGCAGACCAAAGAGTCTCGGGTTCAATTCCAGTCAAAGGCATGTACCTTGGTTGTGGTTTGGTCCCAGCCCTGGTCAGGGTTGTGCGAGAGGCAACCAGCTGATGTGTCTCTCACATAGATGTTTCTCTCTCTTCCTCTCTCTCTCTCTCTCCCTCCCTCCCACTCTATCTGATAAATAAAAATATATCCTTGGGTAAGGATTTAAAAAAATTAAAGATTTCTCAAAAAAACATAATCTAATATTTGAGAAGCATATTTTATTAGGTTATAGAAAGTAAAGCTTGAAGAAAGCTTGTGGATCATCTAACAAAGTGGTTCAATAATAAGAAGTTATGCTGCCTCCCAGGAAGACATCTGGCAATGTCAGACACATATTTGGTTGTTACTATTGGCATCTAGAAGGTAGAAGCCAGGGATATTGTTAAACATGCTACAATGCATAGACCAACCCCCCACTACAAAGAATTGTCTGGCTTAAAATGTCAATAAAGCTGAGGTTGAGAAAGTCCGACCTAACCTAATCATTTGCCTATTTTATCTTCCTTGAAATATTATATAGTTGACACTTGAACAACACAGAGAGTAGTGGTGCTGATCCCCAGGCAGTCAAAAACCCATGTATAACTTTGACTTCCCCAAAACTTAACTCCCCTCAGTGCCCATGAGGGAATGATTCCAGGACCTCTACAGATACCAAAATCCACAGATGCTGAAGTCACCTGTATAAAATAGCATAGATTAATGCATACAGTTGGTCCTCCACATCTATGAACTCCAAACAGTGGGTCAAAAACAGTATAGGTGCGCCCTGGCCGGTTTGGCTCAGCGGTTAGAGCGTCAGCCTGCGGTCCTGAGAGACCCGGGTTCGGTTCCCGCTAAGGGCGCGTACCTCGGTTGCAGTTTGTCCCCGGCCCTGGTTGGTCGTGCGGGTGGCAGCCACTCGATGTGTCCCTTTCACATCGATGTTTCTCTCTCTCTCTCTGTTCCTCTCTCTCCCTCCCACTCTACCTGAACAAAAAATGGAAAAATGTCCTCGGGTGAGGATAAAAAAAAACAAAAAAAAAAAACAGTATAGGTGCCCTGGACAGTTTGCTCTGTCCTCGACCAGAGGACAGAAGGGTTTGGGGTTTGATTCCTGGCTAAGGGCACGTACCTGGGTTGCAGGTTCAATCTCCGGCCCCTATGGGGGTGGTGAGGGAGACAACCGATCAATTTGTCTCTCTCTCACACTGATGTTTCTTTGTCTCCCTCCCTCCTTCCCTTCCACTCTATCTAAAGGAATCAATGGGAAATATCCTCAGATGAGGATTAACAACAACAAAAAAATACAGAACAGGTATTCATTGAAAAAAATACATGTATAAGTGGACCTGTGCAGTTCAAACCCGTGTTGTTCAAGGGTTACCTGTATATATTCTCTCTACAGACAGATAGAAATTTCAAGAAAAAAATATTTACAAAAGCCACACTTCAGTATTTATTTTGCCAACTGAACCCACAACCCAGACAAAGAAAAAGCCCACAACCCAGATGAAGAAAAAGAACATTCTCAATCCCCCTTCCTGACCCCTTCTCAGTAACTTATTTTTAATTAGGTATTTGTTGTTTCTCCTCACTAGAATTTTAGTTAAGTGACATTCAGAATCTTACCTGTCTTATTTGCTAACTTGTATCATGGCACATGAAAAATTGGTAAGCATTTAAAAAATGATCCACAAATAATGAATAAAAGAATTTTAAAAGTGGAGTAAGAAGACATAACTAACTGCCTTTTTGGGCCCCTTACCTCAACTCTAACCCTTGAGGTACCTAGAGATTTCCAAGGAACAAAATTTGAAAACTACTCATATAAATTTTATATGAGTAGTTCTCAAATTCTTTCTTTCCACACAATCCCTGGAACAAACTTGGTAATCACAAGTTAGTTTCTTCCCTTTCTGTGCATTTCACATTCTCCCACCCCACTCAAATACATCTACCTAAGAAGGCAATAAAGAAATTTTACAAATGGAAGAGGTGACAGAGGACAGACAATCCTAAAAATTTACCGTAGGTGAGCAGGGTAAAATGACTAATAAGATATACGTACTACGGGGACAGTAATCCTCATCAGGAGACTCAGTATGGTCTTTGCGGTGATGGCTGAATCGGTAGTCAATGCTGTCATGTACCCAGCCTTTTTCAATGAATAATCCTGGAACTTCATCTGAGAAGAGCCAGTATCTATAAATCACAACCACATATTAATAAGATTACGCTACATCATGAACACAAGATGACTTTATTGTTGGGGAAGATGATTAAAAACTATTACTAAACATTCAGAAATATACAAATTATACAGTAAAACCAAGAATAACAAAATGTTTAGAATGAGACTTGTCTAACATCTGTAATTTTTATAACTTCTAATATTTCTCAACTTTAGGTTCCATACAATGTAATGCATTTAAAATACAATACCATTTTTAAAGACTTCTATTTGGTTCACATTTCACCTATCACCAAAATTTAACCTCCATATTTGTGATATCTTAAGAACAGGGTCATGTCTTTATTTAACTTTGTAACCTTAGCATTTGGCACACATTCAATAAATATTCAATGAATGTGTGATAAGCAATTCTGTTTCCAAAATGCATGAATACAGAATCTTATCTATTCTTATTACTTTAGACAGTTTTCATCACTAGAAAAATATAAAGGCCCTACAAGATTACAAAAAATTAAGTTTAATAAGTTACCTATTATGGTTTCGATCTGTACCAATAGGAGTCCTACGCATGACTAGTTTTGCCTTGGCAATTCCCTCCTGGAATGCCTTCTCAGCAGCTGCTTTGTGTTTTCGGATTCGTTCTTCTTCAGCTTCGCGTTCTAGTTTCACTATTCGAAACAAAAAGAATCAACTAGATTTTTTTTCTAGTAATTCCACTTTTACAAATTAAATGACATATGGAGTGAAAATTGCCTGGTATAAAGTACACTTTCACCAAACCTCAGTTTCCTTCTCCTAATTCTAATCTGTTATAAAAAATGACATGTAAAGGCAGCAATTTCTGTCTGGTCCTCCTATGTGCTTTAAATTTTGGTGACGTCTCAGCCACCAACCGGACGCAAAATCTTTCCTCTCTAAAATTTAATTTAATTTTAATAATTAAATTGATTTTATTTTATTAATACCTTTAAATGTAATCTTAAAACAGTCCTTAAATAGAATTAATTGAATCATTTTATGACAGGGCCGTCACAGAATCCTAAAAATGACTGGGATGAATAAAACTAGAATCGCTGTTTCAAAATAAAACAAATTTTTGCCTTGAGGAATTTGATAGTATATTCAATTCATTAGCCTCAGTGACAAAAAAGAATTGTGAAAGCAAGGGCAGAGAAATACTTGTGAAAAATAATAATGAATAGTGAATACTATTTTTTTAGTTACTATCGTTAAAATCAACCTATTTCTGATCATTCATTATATGGGATTATTCTATATAGATAGAAATTTCCCTCAACAACAGCAGCAACCCAGTTATCTTGCCTTTTAAGTTTGTCCACAACCATCACAAATTTGATACTATAGTACAAAGAACTGCTATTTACAATGCCAGAATTTTTTTCTTTTTTAATCCTCACCCGAGGACATTTTTCCATTTTTTGTTCAGACAGAGCAGGAGGGAGAGAGAGGAAGAGAGAAAGAAACATCGACGTGAAAGGGACACATCGAGTGGCTGCCACCAGCACAACCCAACCAGGGCCAGGGACAAACTGCAACCGAGGTACTTGCCCTTAGCGGGAACCGAACCTGGGTTTCTCTGGACCGCAAGCCGACGCTCTAACCACTGAGCCAAACTGGCCAGGGCACAATGTCAGTATTTTTAACCCTGATCCTCTACTAGTCGTGATATCTACAATATGGTGAGATTCTGGAAAATGCATCAATCAAATGATATTACTTTTTAAAAGTTAAGACAAATTTCATTTATTTAAAACCCATATGGCATATTATCTTTAATAAAGTTTTTTAGCCTGAATGGAATTATGCTGGCAATAATTGACTACGGTAGAGTTCAGTACACAAAGGTAAATAATAAAGAGTAAATGGCCAAATCACAGTAAAAAAAAAAGTTTTTTTTCCCTGAAACTACAAACAAAAAAACCATCTAGGGCAAGTCATCAAAAGACAATCAAATTTAGTTTTAGCAGTTACAACACTGAACTAGATACTGAAAGACCTGAACTCTATAATTCAAATATTGGCCATGGCAAGATATTAATATTCTTTGTCCCTTGTTTCTCTATATCAATAATAGAATATCATCTTCCTAGCCTTTCTCCTTGGTTAAGATAAATACAACACAGAGTTAACACTTTAGAAACTCAAGAAACCACTGTTTCATGTAAAACACACTAAAACGTGATATAAAGTTAATCTGCATGCTATTTTATATGGAATGCAATTATATTCTTTCAAATTGGAAAGTACATATACACACATACTCACAGTGTGCATATAAATATAAAAACATTTCAATGGTCGTACATAGTGTAAACTAAAATCTGTTTTAAAATGAGTATTACATATATTCTAATGAAAGAAAGTAACAAAGTTGTCTGACTTAACCTAAAATCTTTCACATATAACTTAAGACTATTTCTAGTTATCTATCTACCCAATCCTTAGCATCTAACTTTGACAAATAAATGATTTTTACCATCTTCACTTCATAAGCTGGCAATGTTTAAAACTAAGTGATCAAAACAGTTTGGTCTTAAAACAAAAATTAATAAACTTAAGTTTATTGTGGATAACAATTCTAAAACAAATATTGCATACATTGTAACATGATCAAATAAGTAAATATTAATATTGATATAGATAACTGTTGGGGGTAGGGAGACAGAGCAAAAATGAAAAAAGAAAAAAATTCATGAACGATAGTGTGGTGATTGTGGAGTGGGGGACAGGACAGACTTGGCTTGGGGTGGTGAACACAGTGTAGTATATGGATAGTGTATTGTGAAGTTTTGTACCTGAAAGCTGTACAGTTTTATTGACCAGTGTCACCTCAAAAATCCAATGAAAAGAAAAAAATATTGATATTAATAGGTTCAAGGGGTCTCATGATACAAGAAAGACGACACAAATACAGAATGAGGATGGCAAAGCAGAACCCTTGGGTGTTGAAATTAATTTGGAATATATTTAACCAAAGAAGTACAAAATTTATACTCTGAAAACTACAAAATATTGAAAGAAATTAAAGTTCTAGCCCTGGCCAGTTTGGCTCAGCGGTTAGAGCGTCGGCCTGCGGTCCGGAGAGACCCGGGTTCGGTTCCTGCTAAGGGCACGTACTTCGGTTGCAGTTTGTCCCCGGCCCTGGTTGGTCATGCGGGTGGCAGCCACTCGATGTGTCCCTTCACGTCGATGTTTCTCTCTCTCTCTCCCTTCCTCTCTCTCCCTCCCACTCTATCTGTACAAAAAATGGAAAAATATCCTCAGGTGAGGATAAAAAAAAAAAAAAGTTCTAGCCCTGGCCAGTTTGGTCAGCAGTTAGAGCATCAGCCCTCAAACCAAAAGGTCTTGGGTTTAATACCTGGTCAAGGCACATACCTGGGTTGCAGGTTCAAAACCTGGCCCTGGTTGGGGTCATGAGGGAGGAAATCAATCAATGTGTCTCTCTCTCACATCCATGTCTCTCTGTCTCTCTCTCTCCCCTCCCTTCCACTCTATCTAAAAAGTCAATAGAAAAATATCCTCAGGTAAAGATTAACAGAAAAACAAGAAAGAAATTAAAGACCTAAATAAATTTTTAAAAAATCTCCTATTCATGGATGAGAAGACAAAATATCATTAAGATGGCAATAAATCTATTAGATCTATAGTTATAATCTATAAATCCCAATTCTGATGTATAGATTCAAAGTAATCTTAATCAGAGTCCCAGACGGCTTCTTTGCGGAAATTTACAAACTGATTCTGAAATTACTATGAAATTGCGAGGAATCCAGAACAGCTAAAATAATCTTTAAAAAGAACAAGCTAGAGAATTCACATTTCCCTACTTGAACAATTACTACAAAGCAACAGTAATCAAGCCACTATAATACTGGTGTAAGTATAGACATGTAGATCAATGGAATAGAATTGAGAGTCCAGAAATAAATTGATACATCTATAGTCAAATTATTTTTGACAAAGGTGCCAAGATCATTCAATAGGGGAAAGAATAACCTTTTCAAAAAACAACAGGGCCTGGCCAGTTTTGCTCAGTGGTTAGAGCGTTGGCCTGCGGTCCAGAGAGACCCGGGTTTAGTTCCTGCTAAGGGCTCATTCCTCGGTTGCAGTTTGTCCCCGGCCCGGGTTGGGTAGTGCGGGTGGCAGACACTCGATGTGTCCCTTTCACGTCGATGTTTCTCTCTCTCTTCCTCTCTCTCCCTCCCACAAAAAATGGTAAAATGTCCTCAGGTGAGGATTAAAAAGAAAAAAAAAAGGACATCACTGGATAGCCACATGCAAAAGAATGAAGTTAAGATGCTTACCTCATACCATATACATAAATTACCTCAAAATGAACCAAAGACCTAAATGTAAAAGTTAAAACTATAAGACGTTTAGAAGAAAACATAGGGGTAAATCTTCATGACCCTAGATTTAGCAATGGATTCTTAGATATGACACCAAAACCACAAGCAACCAAAGAAAAAAAATAAACTGGACTTCATCTAAAATTTTTTAATTTGTGCCAGATCAGTGTGGCTCAGTGGTTGAGCATCGACCCATATACCAAGAGGTCACTGGTTTAATTCCCAGTCAGGGCACATGCCCAGGTTGTGGGCCCAATCCCCAGTGGGGGGCAAGCAAGAGGTGGCCAATTGATGTTCTCTCTCATCAATGTTTCTATTGCTCTCTCCCTTCCTCTCTCTCCAAAAAGCAACAAAGAAAAAATATTTTAAAAATGTTTTTTTAAGTTTGTGCTTCAATGGACACTATCAAGAAAGTAAAAAGACAACACATGAATTAGGCAAAAATATTTGTAGATCAGCCCAGCCAGCGTGGCTCAGCTGGTTGAGCACTGTCCCATGCAACGAGAGGACATTAGGTTCAATTACCGGTCAGGGCACATGCCAGGGTTTCAGGCTCCATCCTCAGTAGGTGGTGTGCAAGAGACAGCTGATCAATGTTTCTCTTTCATTGATCTTTCTTCCTTCCTTTCTATCTCTCCCTTTCCCTTCCCCTTCTCTAAAAATCAATAAAGATATTTAAAAAAATATTTGCAGATCATATATGACAGGAAAAATACTTTTATCTAGACTATATAAAAGACTCTTACAACTCAATAATAAAAAGGACCAATAATCTAATTTGAAAATAGGCAAAAGATCTGAATTAGCATTCCTCCCAAGAAGGTATGCAAATGACCAATAGGCACATGAAAAGATGCTCGACATCATCAGTCATCAGGAAATATATAACAAAACCTTAATAAGATACCAATTCACAACTACTAGCATGGTTATAATCTATAAATCATATAAGTGTTGGTGAGGATTCAAACAAGTGAAGAAATGAGAACCCTCATACACTGCTTGTAGGAAAGTAAAACTGTGCAGCCACCTTGAAAAATAGTCTGGTAGTTTCTCAAACGGTTAAACAGTTACCATAAGACCCAGCAATTATTTTCCTAAGTATATACCCAAGAGAAATAAAAAGATACATCCATACAAAACTTGTACACCAATGTTTACAGCAGCATTATTCATAATAGCAAAAAATATAGAAACAGCCCTGGCCAGCATGGCTCAGTGGAGAGAGCATTGGTCCATGCACCAAAGGGTTGTCAGTTGATTCTGGTCAAGGGCATGTGCCTGGGTTGCAGGTTCGATCCCAGCCACCAGCAGAGGCCCATGTGGGAGACAACCAATCAATGTTTCTCTCTCTCCCCCCTTCCTTTTCTCCCAATCTCTCTAAAATCAATGGAAAATATACCCTCAGGTGAGGATTAGAAAAAAAAAAAGGTAGAAACAAACCAAATGTCCATCAACTAATCAACAAAATGTGATGTATCTAATCAATGGAATAGTATTCTGCTATTACAAGGCATGAAGTCACTTCTGGCCAAGATGGCAGCGTAGGTAGACGCGGCACTCACCTCCTCCCACAACCAAACCAAAATTACAACTAAACTACAACACAACCAGCATTCAGAACCGCCTGAAATCAAGCTGAATGGAAATCCTACAACTACAAAATTAAAGAAGTAGGCACACGGAAACTGGCAGGAGGGGTGGAGGCGTGGACTGGCTGGTCCCACACTCACATATGGTGGATAAAAATCAGGAGGGACATCTTGACTGGGAAGGTCCTCACTGAGGAGAGGTTCCCGTCCCACACCGGGCCCCCACCTCAGGGTTCCAGTGCCAGGAAGAGAAGTCCCCATAACTTATGGCTGGAAAAAAAGCAGCTCCTCTTAAAGGGACCACGCACGGACTTACTTGGACTTGCTCCCTCTGTGCTCGGAGGGGAGGCAGCTTGAGGGGCGCCAGAAACAAACAGGGAATAACTGAGCTGTTTGGCCTCGGGATGACGGCTGGAGAGGTTGCTTTCTCCTGGACAGATGTGCTGGTGGAGGCTGATGTTGCTTTGGTGAGCCCTTCCCTGGGGCAGCAGACCATCGCCATATCTAGGACTCCAGCAATGGGCTCGCACTGTTAGCCCCGCCCTGGTGATTCCCTGCCTCAACCAATTTTTGGGCTCCCCAAGCTGTTTCCAAAGGCTTTACCATAGAATTGGCCTGTCTTGGATCCTGCTTTAGCTTCCTAAAATCTCTCAAACAAGCAGCACTGGTCTCTGCTAGCCTCATACAACTCACTAAGTGGCCCCAGGCCTGGCACTAGAAGCAGCCAGCCTTGGATCACAACTTGGCTTTTCCTGGGAATCTCCACGCCCAGCAAAAGAAGCAGCTATCTGCAGATCACTCTGTAGCTTATGCTGGGTGGTCCCAGATAGAACACAGGCAGTGGCTGACCTTGCCCCAGAGCCAGCACACCCAGTGGACAGCTTCAGACCACATCGAAACACCACCACCCAATCACTTCCACAAGTGACACACTCAATGAGCGGACTCGGTGGGTACCAGAGCCCTGATGAAGTAAGTCTTGCTCTGTATGGTTGGCCCCTACACAACTGATCCTCCAAGGTAGTCAGAGGCCAGTGGACAGTAGGTACAGCAAGTCCTTGCAGCTGATCAGCCTGAGTAAATACTTCCCATTGACATGCCAACAGCAATCAAGACTCAATTACAACAGAAGGGTGGACAGTCCACACTAGAGGTGCACCTCGAGGGCCCAGCTGGGGTGATCAGGGAGGATGTGCCATCTGGATCCTACAGGACACCTACAATAATAGGCCACCCTCCGAAACCTAGGAGACATAGCAACTCTACCTAATACATAGAAACAATCACAGGAAAGCAGCCAAAATGAGGAGACCAAGAAACATGTCCCAAATAAAAGAAAAGAACAAAACTACAGGAAAAGAATTAAACAAAATGAAGATAAGCAATCAATCAGATGCAGAGTTCAAAACACAGGTTTATAAGGTTGCTCAAGAAACTTGGTGAGACATTCAAGGAACTTAGTGAGACCTTCAAGAAAATTAAGGAGACCTCCAAGGAGCTTAGTGAGAACATCAACAACATCAAAAAGGACCAGTCAGGCCATGGCCGGTTTGCTCAGTGGTTAGAGCATCAGCCTGCAGTCCAGAGAGACCAGGGTTCGGTTCCTGCTAAGGGCACGTACCTCAGTTGCAGTTTGACCCCGGCCCTGGTTGGGTCATGCAGGTGGCAACCACTCGATGTGTCCCTTTCACGTCAGTGTTTCTCTCTCTCTTCCTCTCTCTCTCTCCCACTCTATCTGAACAAAAAATGGAAAAATGTCCTCAGGTGAGGATTAAAAAAAAAAAGCAGCAGTCAGAAATGAAGGATGCCCTAACTAAAAGAATAATTTACAGGAAATCAATAATAGAGTGGGTAAAGCCAAGAAGCAAACCATTGATTTGGAATATGAGGAAGCAAAAAACACCCAATCAGAACAGCAAAAAGAATCCAAAAAAAAGAGGATAGTGTAAGAAGCCTCAGGGACAACTTCACGTGTGCCAACATTCGCATCATAGGGGTGCCAGAAGAAGAGAGCGAACAAGAAATTGAAAACCTATTTGAAACAATAATGACAGAAAACTTCCCTAACTTGGTGAAGGAAACAGATATACAAGTCCAGGAAGCATAGAGAGTCCCAAACAAGGTGAACCCAAAGAGGTCCACAATAAGACACATCATCATCAAAATGCCAAAGGTTAAAGATAAAGAGAGAATCTTAAAAGCAGCCAAGAGAAAAGCAGTCTGTAACCTACAAAGAAGCTCCCATAAGACTGTCAGCTGATTTCTCAAAAGAAACTTTGCAGGACAGAAAGGAGTGGCAAGAGATATTCAAGGTGACGAAAAGCAATGACCTACAACCAAGATTATTCTATCCTGCAAAGCTATCATTTAGAATTGATGAACACATCAAGAGTTTCCCAGACAAGAAAAAGCTAAAGGAGTTCATCACCACCAAACCAGTTATTATATGAAATGTTGAAGGGTCTTCTTGAAGGAGAACAAAAATATGAACAATAAAATGGCAATGAATACATATCTATCAACAACTGAATCTATAAACAAAATGAACAAGCAGAACAGAAACAGACTGCTAGATACAGAGAACATTTTGTTGCTTGCCATATGGGAGGGGGCTGGGAGGATGGGTGAAAAAGATGAAGGAATTAAGAAGTACAAATTGGTTGTCAGACTGATGAACCTCAAAGGGAAGGGGGGAGGAAGGGCAGGATGAGATAAACCAAATAACTTCTATGCATATATGCATAACCAATGGGCACCAACCAGTGTAGGGAAGGCAGGAGGGGGGCAGGATTGAGGAGGAGAGGGTCAATGAGGAAACAAAGGGGAGGTATCTGTAATACATTCAACAATAAAGATGAGTTAAAAAAAAAAAAAAAGGAAGTACTACTGAAATGGTGAACTTTGAAGATATTATACATAGTAAGTGCAAGAAACCAATTCCAAAAGATCACATTTATTATATGATTCCATGCATAAGTTATGTCAAAACAGGCAAATATAGAGATAGAAGACTGGTAGTTGCTTAGGTCTAGAAAGGATGGGTGGGTGGGGTGATGATAGCTAAAAGGTATGGGGTTTCTTTTTGAGGTGATGAAAATGTTCTAAAATCGTGGTGAAGGTTACACTCTCTGTGAATATATTTAAAAACAATGAAATGCACACCATCAATGGAAGAACTGCATAGTATATGAATTATTTTTTAATAAAGCTATTTCTTTAAAAGTTCAGATTTGGCCCTGGCCGGTTTGGCTTAGCGGTTAGAGCGTCGGCCTGCAGTCCAGAGAGACCTGGGTTCGGTTCCTGTTAAGGGCACAAACCTCGGTTGCAGTTTGTCCCTGGCCCTGGTTGGGTCGTGCGGGGGGCAACCACTCGATGTGTCCCTTTCATGTCGATGTTTCTCTCTCTCTCTCTCTCTCTCTCTCCCTCCCACTCTAGCTGAACAAAAAATGTACTCGGGTGAGGATAAAAAAAATAAATTTTCTTAAAAATATTTTTTTTAAAAAGTTCAGATTTGTCTGGCCAGTGTGGCTCAGCTGGTTGAGCATCATCCCATGCACCGGGAGGTAACCAGTTTGATTCTCAGTCAGAGCACATGCTGGGCTGTGGGATCGATCCCTAGTGGGGACATGCAGGAGGCAATCGATCAATGTCTCTCTCTCATCAATGTTCTATCTCTCCCTCCTCTGAAATCAATAAAAAAACATTTTTCAAAATTAAAAATAAATAAAAGTTCAGATTTGATGGTGCTATCAAAGCCTAAAGTTTTTATGTTCTTGTTTCTTATTAAGGGAAAGATTAATATCAAATCTGGCAACTGTAAAGAGGGCTTCAAATACCTTGTTATTCAACTGTTACAACAATCTTTACAATCATATGAGGAAACTGAGGCATATGTAACTTGACCAAGGGAATATACCTAAGTCAGAGGTAGAGTTTGAACCCATGATCACTTCTGCTAGAATATCACATACATAGAAGGGTCCGGGTTATTACATACAGAGATAACTAAATAGTTATGACAAGTACAGTCTCTACCATTACCTCAATAATTTCCTTAGTTTTACTTTCTTCTAAAGAACTTCCCCTTTTCTCTCATCACAAGATTTTACCTTTCATTTCTCTCTCCTGGATTTCCCGCTCCTTCTTAGCCTGAATGGCAAGCAGCCGTCTGCTCTTCACAGTACTAATCATGTCTTCAGCTTCCATATCTACCTGGGGCTCAAATTTCACAACTTTTTTCCTATCAGTTTTGCCTAACCCATTCTCCTCTTTTCCATTTTCTTTATTTCTGGCTTCCATTTCTTTCCGTTTCTGTTTCTCTGCTCTCTTCTTATCATTTTCTTCCTTTAATACAGCAAGCCGTTCCTTCCACAACTCAGCAGACATCTGCTGTCTGGTTTCCATGTGGTCTTGCACGGAGTATGTCATGAGAATCCGGTGGCAGAGTGCTGTCAAAATCTGTAGCTTCTCTTCCGATGTTAACTCAAAAAATTCAGAGGTTTCCAGCTTCTCTAAGAACTCATCTTGTACTTCATTGTCCTCAAATGGTGCTGAATCTTTATTGCCATCTGTATCTGAGCCCTCACTTTCCTCCTGAACATCAGATTTGCGCAAGCAGAGCCGCACCAGCTCTGAAACCGAATGTAGAGTCAGAGGGATTTCCGACAGCTTCATTCCCAATTCACCATAGTCTTCTGCTATTTCATCTTGTAATAAGGTCTGTAACAGGATGACCAACACTCTATTCAGGTATAAAAAGCCACCCTTTTCTGCACTCAAGGCTTCCATAAGGGACACAGCAGTAATGGGATACTGAGCATCTGGTAAGAGTAGTCCAGAATAACAGCTCAAGAACTCCACAACCATGGCCACGTCCCCAAAGAGTGTGTTGGGTAGTCCTTCAGGGGTATCCACCAATCTAAATGCTGGAAGGTTTTTGCCAGTTAACTCTTGGTCCTCATATCGCTTCTGTTTTTCTAGTTTCTCAAGCATTTCTTTTTCTCTCCGCTCTTTGGCTTTCTCCTTCAACTTTTCTCTTAACTCCTCTCGTTTCTTTTTCAAATATTCCTTGCGTTGCTCTTCAGACATAGAGGCCCATCTTTTTTTGTGCTCTAGAAGCTCAAAGCGTTTTTGAACAATACTTCGCAATTCTTCTGGGAGACGAGCTCTATCTTCACTAGAGAGAAGACGGGCTGTTTTGGAGATAACACAGGACAGGGCACTCTTCTTGTCCTCCCTGTCTTTGTTTTCTTTGTAGTAGGCAATAAGGTGTAGGGCTGCAGGAGGCAGATGTTTATGAGGTTTACTAGAGGACCTGGGTGTACCCCCAGAATTCCGTGGGGTTCGTGTCATCTTCTGAGTGCCTTTGGCCATATCCAACAAAGTCATCTGCTTCATTTTGGTTTTAGGAGTCTTCAGGCCCTTTTTTGGAGATCTGGAATTACCTGTGGATTTCTGTCCATTCAGAATGCCTTTGCTTCTGCCCTTTGTTTTCAAAGGTTTGTCATTGTGCTTCCCTGGTTTCTTGGTAGGTGGGCCTTTCTTGGGAATGTGAAAGTTAGCATGTAGTTTATTGGTTGACATCATCTTCATCACTTCTTCCAGATGCTCTTCTGGAGATTTGGAATTCTTTGAGTTCTTCACTTTAAGTGGTGAGCCATTCAAGGATTTCTTCAAGTGTACATGACACCATAACTTAGGATTTAGTGGCGAACTCAGAGAAGAGTTATCTGTCTTGGATTTCTTTGAGGGCTTCCTATCTGGGGATCCAGTATTCTTCCTCTTAGTAGAAGGGTTGAGAGTCATATACTAGAATTTAAGAATAGGAGCAAAATTAATTTTAAAAACTAACTTAAAGAAGCAATATTTAAACATCCTAAAGGCCTTCTTTTCCACTATTCAGGTAAAACTACAAATTCATTTCTTTTCATAAACACTATGTCCCTAAAAAAACACAAAGAAATGAATTAGCTAATGTTTTAGCCTTATCAACACAAAATTCTCTTGATACCCAGGCTAAAAAAGGTATACTCTAATATTAAACATTTCTGCTATGCAACTAGCTTTCTGTTTATATAGAGATTAGCAGTTCTTAAATACTGTAATGAACTGGGAACCCTTTCCCCAGGAAAAAATACAAAAATTATGCAAACAATTTCAGAGTCCATCCATAGATCCCAGATTAAGGATACCTAAATCTAGATAATGGCAACATGTGAGAAATTTTTAAAGTATTGCTCTTGAGACAGGACTGGGTTTTTATCCTATAAGCCTTAGTTCCAACTGGGAATATTCTATGCTCTTAAGGTTTACATTTAAAGTTTACCATTTAAGTATTTTTATCTCAATTCAGAAGCATATTTTCTTATTAAAAGTACCAATGAGGCCCAGCTGGTGTGGCTCAGAGGTTGAGCATCAACCCATGCACCAAAAGGTCACTGGTTTGATTCCCAGTCAGGGCACATGCCCAGGTTGTGGGCCCAATCCCCAGTATAGGGCATGCAGGAGGCGGCAATCAATGTTCTCTCATCGATATTTCTATCTATCTCCCCCTCTCCCTTCCTCTCTCTCTCTCTAAAATCAATAAAGAAAAATTATAATAAAAATAAAATAAAAGTACCAGTGAGTATACTAATAGTAACAAAGACACTGTTCACAAATAAAGAACCCTCATGACCCTGGCCAAATAGGTCCTCAAACTCTCCCCCTTTGACCTCTCTCCATACCTCAAGAACTCATTCCCATGAATATATTAGTGCCCTCTAAATTCTCAATTTCACATAATTCTACCTTTGACCATCCTATCACATATTTCTAATTCATTCCCTCTTGTACCCCAAACTCTATAATCCTTCATTCCCACCAGGACCTTAAATCTGTTGATTTTCACCATGCTCACACTTCCATGTCCTTCTAACCAAGATTAAATTCCACAGTCAGTCATTATAATCAATCTTACATGAAGCTACAGTTCTCTTACCTCCCTTGCTCTGTTATATCTAGTCACTCCTGGACTGCAAGTGTTCAGCTTAAACATGACTAAACAGCCCTAACCAGGTAGCTCAGTTGGTTAGAGCATCGTCCCGATATGCCAAGGTTTCGGGTTCAATCCCCGGTCAGGGCACATCTAAGAATCAACCAATTAATACATGAATAAGTGCAACAACAAATTGATATTTCTCTCTCTAAAACTAATAAAAATTTTTTTAAAAAACATGACTAGAATAAAAGATATGACAGTGTATAATATTAGTAAAATCATAACCAAGTACCTTCAAATGGGTTCTGAATGCCACCCAATAATCACAGTACATTCCCTTAATCCATTCAATTGCCTAGACACACATCATCTCCTGTTTCTTCAAACCTCTACTTTATTCCTACTTTACAGAATTTGTTAATAGGTTAGAACTAGTGTTTCTGTGTACTTAACACAAACAAAAAACACTTGATTTATATGCTTTACATAATTACAAAGAACAAAACCTGGCAGCTAAAACACAAATTAAATGAAATAATAACCAGCAATGAAAAGGTACAGTCAATTTCAAAAAAGTATTGTTTCAAGTGACTAGGAGAAAGACTAGATAACACCTAGAACTTAAATTCTAAAATCTTCAAGTTTTTGAGTGGAAGGGACTAACTTGTTAAGAGCAACATGTAAAGTAGCAGTATGGCCCTGGCTGGGTAGCTCAGTTAGTTAGAGCATCGTCTCGATACGGCTTTGATCCCCACTCAGGGCACATACAAGAATCAACCAATGAATACATAGATGAGTGGGAAAAAAGACTGACAAATATCTCTTTCTCTCCTTCTCTACCTCTAGAATCAACCTAGAAGCAGTATGAAGGCAGTGGGTAAACAGGTTAGTGTGGAATGAGACAATAGGCAAGAAAACACCTAAAGACTATTGAATATAAAATTATGAGGCCCTTTAAAAAGATTATAGAGGCCCAGCCATAGTGGCTCAGTGAATTGAGCATCGTCTCATGGACTGAGAGGTCCAGGTTCAATTCCCTGTCAGGGCACATGCCCAGGTTGTGGGCTCATGCCTCAGTAGAGGAAGTACAGGAGGCAGCTGATCAGTATTTCTCTCTCACGTCAATGTTTCTCTCTCTCAATGCCAATAAGATGTAACATTAATAATATAATCAGAGCCTGGCCAATGTGGCTTAGTGGACTGAGCATGGTCCCATGGACTGAGAGGTCCTGGTTCCATTCCTGGTCAGGGCACATTCCCAGGTTGTGGGCTCAATCCCCAGTGAGGGGCGCGCAGGAGGCAGCTGATCAATGTTCTTTCTCACATCAATGTTTCTATCTCTCTCTCCCTTCCTCTCTCTCTAAAATAATAAATAAAAAATTTAAAAGATCAATAAAAAACAGTAATATACATATATATAAAATCAGAGAAACAAAGTCACAGAACCAAGACAGTACTTATTCATTCTGCAATGAATAAGTGGCTTTATACTTAACAAATCCTTCTTCTGGCCAAGTTCCATAACTTTAAAGGACAATCTGCCTTTTAAGAATCACAAGCAACCCCAGCCGGGTTGGCTCAGCGGTTGGAGCGTCGGTCTGCAGACCAGAGAGCCCCGGGTTTGGTTCCCGCTAGGGGCACATACCAAAAAAAAAATTACAGGCAATTGTAGAGTACTGTTCCTCTAGCTGGCTGATTTTGTTGCCTGACAAATAATGATTTTTCCTCAATTATCAGCCCCAGTATGAAATGACAAAGTGGTTCTAGTTCACAAATAGAAACACTATCAGTGCTACAGGGGATACTTTTCACAGAAGTAGAATTTCCCAGTTCTTGTTCTCCAGCAAGAACTTTCAAAAAGTTAAAAATTATGAATAAGCAAAGAAAATTAACATAAGATTCCATTTTCCTCAAGGACAGTGATAACACCAATACCCCAAAGAGTACCATATTTCAAGACCATTCTACAAATCATAAAGCAGTGATTTTCAACCTTTTTTAATCTCATGACACACATAAAATAATTACTAAAATTCTGCAGCACACCAAAAAAATATATTTTTTGCCCATTTAACCAAAAACATAGGTATAATTTTGATTCATTTACACAGGATAGCTAATGTTGTGTTGGTTCTCGTCATTTTTTTTTTAATTTGACAATCTAAGGGAAAAGAGGGAAAAGGTTTCAGGTTCAATTCCTGGTCAGGACACATACCTAAGTTGCAGGTTCAGGTAGTGCATGTTTGTTTGTTTTTTATCCTTACCAGAGGACATTTTTCATTCACATAGAGTGGGAGGGGGAGAGAGAGAGAGAGAAACATCAATGTGAAAGGGACACATTGAGTGACTGCCACCCACACGACCCAATCAGGATCGGGGACAAACTGCAACCGAGGTACATGCCCTTAGCGGGAACCAAACCCGGGCCTCTCCGGACCACAGGCCGATGCTATAACCACTGAGCCAAACTGGCCAGGGAAGGTATTACATGTTTTAAAATTCTTTGTGGCGCAGTGTGCCTCTTGCAGTGTGCCTTGGCACGCTGATTCAAAACTGCTGTCACAGAGTAAGGCTAACTAAACACTACCCTGCCAGAAATTAACAACAAATATGTGCCTCCCAACAGTTAACCATCCTCTTCAGCTAGCCTTAGAAAATCTTCAGAGTACAGACAAAATAGATTGCTACTTTTTCTAATGATCAGAATGATAGGTTTAAAGTCATTCTAAAATGAAATATATTACTATAAAAGGAGACTAATATAAGTCTATGTTTCATTTTTACTATTTTAAGTAAGATATCTTTTATTTTTTAAAAGATGGCCCTTTTTTGTTTTGTTTTTTATCCTCACCTGAGGACATTTTTCCATTTTTTGTTCAGATAGAGTGAGAGGGAGAGAGAGGAAGAGAGAGAGAGAGAAACATCGACGTGAAAGGGACACATCAAGTGGCTGCCTCCCACATGACTCAACCAGAGCCGGGGACAAACTGCAACCGAAGTACATGCCCCTAGCTGAAACCGAACCCAGGTCTCTCTGGACCGCAGGCCGACGCTCCAACCGCTGAACCAAACCGGCCAGGGCAAAGATGGCCTTTTTTAAAAAATGTTTTTATTGATTTTTTAGAGAGAGGAAGGAAGAGAAAGAAATGGAAACATCAATGAGAAACAGAAGCATCAACATCGATCACTGCCTCCTGCACACCCTTACTGGGGATGGAGCCAGCAACCCGGGCATGTGAAATGATCAGGAATTGAACCACTGACCTCTTGGTGCATAAGTCAATCCTCAACCACTGTGCCACACCAGCAAGGATAAAAAAGATATCTTTTAATAGGGTCAATTATTATTGGACCACCTCTTAATTTATTGGTTATATTTTTTCATATTTAAAAAGTCAAATTTTTTAAAAATTTAAAAGAAAGTCAAATTAAGCATAAGTTACTTTAAATTTCTTCTACTTAGAAGCATTGTGTTATGCAGAAACAATGCAAGAAAAAGCTGGGATGGCTTAACTATGAACGGATCCGGCTACCCCTTTTTATTTATAAGGTATGTTTTTTGCCAAGACACATTGTATAATTTTTTTCTCTTAAAAATGAAAGAAGCCCTGACCAGGTGGCTCAGTTGGAGTGTTGTCCTGTATACCAAAAGGTTTCAGGTTCAATTCCTGGTCAGGACACATACCTAAGTTGCAGGTTCAGGTTCCAGTTAGGGTGTGTGCAGGAGGCAACCAATCAATATTTCTCTCTCGCATTGATGTTTTTCTCTTTCTTTCCCTTCCCTTCCTCTCTCTAAAACCAATGAAAACTTATCCTTGCATGAGGATTA